TTTGTTTTCGACCAGTTATCTCAGGCAGTTTGTTTGAAATGCATTCGCTGCACTGCGTCACGGCTGAATCTGCGGTGTAAGGGTCCATGTAATCACAGTCAGCTGGCGCACACGTGATAATAAAATAAATACGATATTTACTATACGGGGGCCGCCATCTTGAATGACGCATAAAACTTATTTAGTTATATATATTATATCAGATGTGCGCCAGCTGACTGTGCATGTAATGCACCGATCTTATACCGATAGCCAAAATATGACGCTGGAGCCGCGAAACCACGTTTACAGTCAAGATTTTCCAAAGAGTAATGATATGACTGTAGAGCGCCCGATGTCAGGGCCGGGGTGTATCACGTACGACAAAACAAATACAAATGTCAACATGCAAATTGCTACGGGGCCTTACCATAGGTGTGTACAATTAGAAATATCCAACGTAGCGTCGCGTAACATCACAAGATATTGGTTGGATCATCCCAGCAGCCAATCAGCATAACACACTGACCTAGTACCTCACCTTTGTTGGACTTGGATTTGTTGTTTGCCGTAAAACAGTGACTTGGGTTTTTAGGTCGCAAAACCTTGCCGCAAACGAAACTCTTAGCATGGAGCACGCGTTGTGTCGTCACCGGAAGCGCTGTCCCAGCACAAACCTGTGTCATATGACGCCTTACTAGCCGATTTTGGCTAAAATTCCGCTCCGCCGCGCGATATGCGTCAGATCGGTGTAGAAGACGCCGACCTGCAGCGTCAATGATGGAGCACGGTTACTCATTTTTAGTAACCGTGGTAGGGAGCAACATGACAGATAACAAGCCTGGTTAACTCAAACGGCAAATGGATCGACAATTTGACTGTAAACGGAATAATATATGAAATGGAATTACAACATATACTGTAAAATAAAATTATTATTTTCCGATGGACTCATATCACCAATATATTAGCTGTTCAAGCGGGAAGTCGTCATCTGCGCATGCGTTAGATGGCCTTAGTGTGTCATTGTTTACAAACAAGCGTCTACCCATGAGCCTTTGCGTTTTTAGTGCGTGTTGTTATCGTCGCCTGGGACTCAATTTTCGCGCGTGCGCAGGTGACGACCCTCCCTCTTTAAAAGTAACTGTTATACAAGCTCTCCCACTATGGATCTGATTATGCAACATATACAAATACGAATATAGACAAATTATTGAATATATAAACACGCTATACACTACATGGTAAGGTGAGTGTCCAAAAGTTTGTTTTGCCAAAAGGGCGGTAGTCGTCGCGAGATATATGGGTCTCATATAAACAAAGATGACGACTTTGACTGATGCGTAGATCAACGAGTACAAACTAAGACGTTACCAAGCTTTAATCAATAATCAGGTATTTTTCAGGTGAGTGGAAGGTATCGAAGGAGTCATCGGCGGTAATTAGTGCAAGTCGCATCCATGTCAAACATCATGGGATTGTGGGAAAATCAATGTTTATCAATACAAATGTCACACAAGCGCAGCGCGACGACTGCCGCCCTTTAAACATCTAAACCTATCTAGAATGTCCCCTTAAAACGATCAGAAATCATAAAGTATTGCTAACATCGAAGCAGATGGACAATTTCTATGAATCCAGTTAGTTGGGAATATGCAACGACTACTAAGCCCAAGATTCCAGAGTATGCAAAAGTGCTCAGGCTGGTCGTTGCGCCATGTAGTGTACGATATACATGTACTCCGATAGCGACATATCGTCTAACGCTAAAAATAACTATATGCATCACAAGCATTATGCGACACATTGAACGTGAACACAGGACAAACAAAGTTCGTGGTGTCATCAATTTGAAAAATTGGAAAGTATTTTGAGGGTATTTAAGTACTTAAAAGGCGGTGGTCGTCGCGCTGTGAATGTGCGACATATGTGTTGATAAACATTGAGTTCCCACAATCCAATGCGCTCTTCTAATGTAATCACAAGTATGAGGTTTGATCTGGCGCGCGACTTACACTAATTACAACCGGTGACTCCTTCGATACCTTCCGACCACCTAAAAATACCTAATAAAGCTTGGAAACGTCTCTGTTTGTATTCGTTGATGACCATCTTTGTTTATATGATACCCATATATCTCCCGCATGCGTGGCGCGACGACTACCGCCCTCTAATAATTTTCTATATAAATTTGATGATGGTCAATTTTGATGAAGTAAAGGTATTTTAATGCCGTATTATCCTCTGAAAGGTCGGCATTTAGATATTTAGCTACATTGTATAAAAAAAGAAATCCAAGTTCAGATTCAAATCTGCAGCCCACCTAGATCAAATTGCACGTGTCTAAGAGCACTCAGATAGTCCAGTTTATTTTTATAATATTGAAATTGCTGTTATATTTTAGCAGAATATCAATGGTTCTAGTAATCTCAACTAGGATTACCTCAAATTATTAGTGTTTTAGTATTTTTGAAAGAAGTACGTCCATCTCACTACGATCACCCAGGTTTACTACGCTTACTATGTATCAACATGATGTATTGCTAAAATCTCGTGAAAATAGTGAATGCTGTTGAATTCATTATTCGGTCAAATCTAAGTTGAAGTATAAACAGTATGATACTCGGTATTTGGTCTCTAAAGGGGCACCTCCTGTTAAATCTATATAATCCCATAATCAGATTTACTTCCTAGGTTAAAAATACAGACAGACAGATTAGCATCAACAAAAACCATTATGCAATGCAGCCTCGTGATTCTCCAGTGGTAACCCCGGGTATTGAGGAATTTCTTTTTAAAACATGATAAAATCTACTATTCTTCAGATTTTAGTGAATTTAATTACGGGAAAACATGCGCGTTTAGTGTCTTCAAACTTGACCGTCTGCCCGAGAACGAAACCATCGTCAACGGTAAAATACGTCTATTCCATGTCTGATCTGAGCTGTTTT